TATATATATATATATAAAGCACAAATGGGTAAACAAATAAAATCACAGAATAAATTGGATTCACTGTTTGTGATTAATATGTCACATTGACACTGATAAATCATATGGTAATCAAATAATGTTTTGCGACAGTTTCAGAATCAATCAATTTTATTTGAAATCTTACAAATATATAAATTTGACTGAATATAGTAATACTAAGGTTCAAGACAACCAAATCTATGTGGTGGAATTGACCGATACTTGATGAAAATGATATATTCAAGTAACACTTTATTGTTAGGTTTCTACTGCACAATTACTGCACAAAACTGCGAACATACGCAAAACGTGTTTCGATATTTTGAAAAAGCTAGAGAAAACTATTGTATAGCGAAACTCCTGTTGCGGTTTTGTAAACTGTTCGGCAAAAATCTCTCAATGAAGTGTTACTTGAAGAAAATCAAATCTTTTTTTTGTCCAGTTGATTTGCACCATATAAATCAATGGGGGGCAATAAAAAATTTGAAGGATTGAATGATTGATGAAATATCAAATAATATACTGAAAAAAGTATGCTGTGACAAGAAACCCCCATGCAATAGTACAACATCGACACCCAACAGAAACACTGTTAGAAAAATTAACACAACTTTATCAATGAAATTGTTTTGTTTGTTCATTCTTATATCCATATAATATTTTTTTTGATATTGTAAAATAAGCTATGTTATTTCAAAGCAATATTGTTACACGGGCGGAAGAACTTCGGTCGATAAATAACCAGTTGAACAAATTTGTAATGTTGTTCAATAAAGTACAATTATTATTATTAAACTGAAAATAATTGATGGTAAGTGGGATTCATTTAATTTTTCAAAGGAGTCTTAAGTTAACAAGTTTTTGCAGTAAGCGAATTTGCCCAATATTACAACTTTCTTGGGTGTATGTTTTCAGCTAGAAACTTTTGAATCTTTTCGAAAGTTTGAAAATAGTATTACATGAGAATGTATTGAACACAGATTTCATCCAGGCATTTTTTCTGTTCATGCTTTTATATAACATTTGCTTTGAATCATGGGGAAATTTCCCACCATTTTATATTTAAAAAATTATAGTTTTATGATTTATTGAAATCACTTTTTTCACACCAGAAGAAAAGTACTTTTGTTTGAAGGTGGTTGACAATGTTTCGTGTTGCATTTCATTAGTTCGGACTTCCATTGTCTGATATGAAATAAATTTATTTGAAATCCCTGAAAAAATCTATAAAAGTTAAAAAGATTAGCTGAAAAAGAACAATTATATTAAGAGAAAAAAACTGAAATTATAATGAAATAAAATATAAGCAACAATAAAAAAATTGAATTATTAACACGAGATGAAAAATAAAAATGATTAACAAGAAATGAAAATTAAAAATTAAAGATTTCATGCCAAGTTACTTCTCGACGTTTCGATCCACAATCGTCTTCGGGTGATAAACCGTAACTTATAATAATAATAATAATAAAACGTCTTTATTCACCTGAAGTAAGAACATACAGAATATACAAAAAAAATTATTGAGGTGAATGGGCGGAGTGTCAGCAAAGCTGTTTTTAAACTCAACCTTGTATTTTATTTCATTGTAGTTTTAGTTTTTTTTGCTTAATATAATCGTTCTTTTTCAGCTAATCTTTTAAATTTATTTAGATTTTTTCAGGGATTTCAAATCAATTTATATCATAATAGACAATGGAAGTCTGACTAATGAAATGCAAGAAAATACTGTCACTCGATACTTGTTTCACCCAGTTAACATCATCAAGTGTTGACTGAAACTAAATCTTACACTATGTTAGAGCTCTTTCTATACATCTAGGCAAACCATCACCTTCCACCATTACCGGAATTCCCAGTATTGGTTGAATAGAACTGGTTGATACTTGATGAAAATCCATATTAGAACTCATTAATACAGTTTATTGTATGATTTTCATTATAATGGGTTTTACAAAAACCGCGACGTGTTTCGCTATACAATAGCTTTCTCAAGCGTTAATAATAAATAATAACGCTTGTGAAAGCAGTTTTATAATCTTCTGATGAAGCTAACTTGGTTAGCAAAGCACGTGTTGGGAGAAGTGCTATAGTTTTGGTGTGGAAAAAGTGCTTTACATTACATTTAAAATCTATATCAATTTCAACCTTACTTAGATTCAACTGACTAAGGAAATTGTAATATTTTGTCAAAAACTCACTTGAAACTTGGAGGTTGAACTCTCCGAAGTTTTATAATGGTCTCTTTTCCTTTTTCCTCTCTTTGTAATCCCTGCTAAACTCTTTAAAGTAGGTGGTACAATATATTCTGGAACGTCGGCCAAGTGCTGTTGTATCCTTACTGTGTGTAGTGCTTTGTCATGACGAAGAACTTGCAGATCCGTCGGATTATCTTCAAAATACGTCTAAAAAAATTATACAATTTATTTTGGTGCATGATAAAACATCAATCATTTTTGTTACTGCATTCAATGGGACAATTGATGCTAAAATAAATGTATAATGTACCAAACAAAGGTTTTACCTTCAGCTTTTGACAGTTAAATATTTCTTGTTTGATTTCCTTCAACCTTGCTTCTCTCACCGCAATCTTTGTTACTGCCCTCCAAGCATCTTTGGCTCGATATCGAAAAGATTCCATCTCTTCTAACTTGAATTGGTATGACCTAAAGAGGTTTTAAATTATTCACTTTTCAATGAGATACAATATATTTTCAAGTACAGGGTAGTTCATATCGAGCAACTAGATATTGTATTGTCTATATTTTATCAATTTTAGTCAATCTACTTTATATACAATTTTTTTTTTTGAATAGTCCGATAAGTTACATATTCTGTAGTTTTCACCACACAATGTGTATTCTTTTGTGATGAATAAAATGATTCTGATTCTGATTCTTATAACTAACATAAAAAAATTGCTTATCAAATGTACGTAGTCTGTGAAATTTGAACATTCACCTTATTTTGTGGACAGACCTGACGAACATTTAGAATACTGTCAAAATTCAATTGGACTTACTTGAAAACAGAAATGTCCTCTTGACCTTGTTTTATTTTGTTTTCCACCTTATCCAGTAAGGGTTTTTCTTTCATGCTAACGAAGGACAGCACACTTCCCTGAAATAAAAGTTTTTATGTATTTTATATGAATGCTTTCTTTCTCACTAGTTCTTTAATAATAATAAGTTTTATAAGTTTTTCAATCCCTGAAATTTGAAAACCTTCCAGTATGAAGTTTGAAATCATATATATCTGTTTGAAAATCTGTTTAAAATCTGTTTTTCCGTTAATCAGCTGTCGCCCCCATACGAACGACAACTCTCAGAAGTTGAGAAACTTGTGCGAGCTAAGGACTAACGAGGTCTTACCTTTTAACGTGTGATTCCTAACACGGAATATAATATAATATAAATCCAAAGAATTCTTAATGTTTCACTCGTAAAAATTATCAAGATTAATTTCAGCCATGTAATATTTTTCTTTTGTTTCTGAAGTTTTCAATGAGAAAAATACCTGTAATTTTTTTCCTGAACAATAATTTTTTATATTGGAAGGTTGAATGTATACTTTTTCCATATTTTTGCAAATATGTTGCGATTGCTGAGATGACTGTCTGCCTACTGAGAATGTACTGAAAACAACAATGGAGGATGTTGGCAGAAACACTGATCTATCTACTTAATAGGAGAAGATGAATTAGTCAATTTTAATCCATACACAACTGCAATAGAAAACAAAATAAGCCACTGAAATATTTAACTTAACCGTTATTATAGTGTAAGTACTAGTGTTGACGTGTATTTTTTGTATAATAGAATGAAGTCATTATTTAAAAGTTGTTCACTTATTGAAGAACCTATAGGCTTGAACATATTGACACACAAGATACTTCTGAAGAAAAATATATTTAAAGAAATTGTAGTATTCACTTCTGCAAAAACCATTATTTTTTCAACTCTCAGGGCTATTAGCTCTCATAATGTGGTTATTTAAAATAAGTACTGTATAAGTTAATTCATTAATTTGGGACAGTACTCGTCGTATTCGATTTAAAATCAATGTCAGAATTGGAATTTCAGAACAGGAAAATCATTTTACATGAACACTTTCTTATGATGCACTGTTTGGAACCTTTGGTGTAGTAATGAATTAGAAAGATTAAAACTGTTTTAATCTTCCTCTTTGAAGATGATCATTTGGTGTTTGAAAAACGTGTCGAGGTGTTAAAAATAACGATTTGGTGTTGGGAAAAAACTCCAGGAATATTCATGAACACTTTCGTTCACATAGTTTTAAAAGGCTGGAAACATCTTTTCAACTTTTACTTTCAAGTGATATGATACCAAAATCTTGTTATTAGCAATAAGATACTTATGATGCACTGTTTGGAACCTTTGGTGTAGTAATGAATATTACTGTAGTTTTTTTCCCAACACCAAATCGTTATTTTTAACACCTCGACACGTGTTTCGATCACCAAGTGATCATCTTCAAAGAGGAAGATTATTGATTGCCAAAGCAAAATACTTTTCCTGATAATCCTGAGCCAATAAATGGGGTGGTAAATAGCATGAATAAATTTGTGAGTGATGATAATGCATTCCAACCTGAATTTTTGGATTCTTGTAAGAGTATGGATATTTCGAACAATGCAAAAAATATAGCAAACTATATGAATAATAATAAACATGTCAAGAAAAATATCAAAAATAAAAATAAAAAGGGACATGACAAATTGTTTGGTTTTACAGTCACCGTGCAGGATGAAACATTCACGGCGACCAACATGAAGCAACAAGATATAAATTCACTGAGCCTCCTCGAAGAAATTGAAGAAGTTGTTAGTAAGGTCACATCTGAAAGTGATCATGAAACTGTCATGAATGTTTCCAATTCTGATTATATAAATCAACCAAGGGCATCTCAACATTTGCTATCGAGTAATATGATGAAGAAACGTGTATTTACCCTGGGTGATGACTATGGAAAGGGTTTTTCTAGAGTTTCGGAACAATTTATTGATAATGAAAACTTTACAATTGAAGAACATGTACAATCTAATATAGAAATCGCCAAGATCACAGAGAACCTATTTAGCCAGGTGACACAATATGGAGGGGACGATTTTGTTCTAGTAATGTTCAACACTCAGGGTTACCTACTATTATGACATATAATGGGTTGAACTTTGACACCCCTAAAACTATTGCCGATGCTTTTGCGGTACATTTCAAATCTTGCTTTTCGATTCATTCACCTGTTCAAAATTATGTACCAGTCCATACCAATTATGATATTAACACGTTATCTCTCCACACCTTCAGTGAACTGGTAATTGAAAATAAATTGAAAAACCTAGATGTCTCAAAGGGCGTGGGTCCTGACGGAATTCCGCCAGTATTGTTAAGGAATTGCTGTCACAGTTTATCACATCCCCTTGAAACACGATACAGGGATTTTTCCAGGTGTTTGGAAAAAATCTTTCCTTTCTCCAGTATTCAAAAGTGGAAACAGAAATGATATTCAGAATTACAGGGGTATCTCGAAAATTTCTTGTATTCCCAAAGTATTTGAATCTTTAATTACGGATGAAATATTCAATAATTTCAAACACGTCATAATAGATGAACAACATGGATTCTACAAGGGAAGGTCTACTGCCACCAATTTGGCTGTCTATCAAAACTTCATCACAAATAAGCTTGAGCAAGGGTTCCAAGTTGATGTTATCTACACGGACCTTGCTAAAGCCTTCGATTCAGTTTGTCATGAACTATTAATTTTAAAACTTAATAATCTTGGAATAACGGGCAGATACTTGAAATTTATTGAATCCTACCTTTCCGGTAGATCGCAGAATGTGAGGATAGCTGACAGTGTGTCAGAAACAATTCATGTAACTTCAGG